AAAACCTTGAGACAAATCCACCAGACCTTTGAGACTAATCCACCAGACCTTTGACACTAAATCCATTAGCCCTTTGAGACTAATCCATCAGACCTTTGAGACTAATCCATAAAACCTTTGTGACAAACCACCAGACCTTTGAGACTAATCCACAAAACATTTGAGACAAATCCACAAACATTTGAGACAAATCCATCAGACTCCTTTGAGACTAATCCACCAGACCTTTGAGACTAATCCACCAGACCTTTGAGACAAATCCACAAAACCTTTGAGACAAATCCACTCAGACCTGTGAGACTAATCCACAAACCTTTGAGACAATCCACAAACATTTGAGACAACCACAAAAAAACATTTGAGATAAATCCACCAGACCTTTGAGACAAATCCACCAGACCCTTGAGACAAATCCACAAACCTTTGAGACAAACCCACAAAACATTTGAGACAAATCCACCAGACCTTTGAGACAAATCCACCAGACCTTTGAGACTAATCCACCAGACCTTTGAGACTAATCCACAAAACCTTTGAGACAAATCCATAAGACTTTTGAGACTAATCCGCAAAACCTTGAGACAAATCCACAAACCTTTGAGACAAATCCACTCAGACAGACCTTTGAGACTAATCCACCAGACCTTTGAGACTAATCCACCAGACCTTTGAGACAAATCCACAAACCTTTGAGACAAATCCACCAGACCTTTGAGACTAATCCACTAGACCTTTGATTAATAAATCCATTAGCCCTTTGAGACTAATCCATCAGACCTTTGAGACTAATCCATAAACCTTTGTGACAAATCCACCAGACCTTTGAGACTAATCCACAAAACCTTTGAGACAAATCCACAAAACATTTGAGACAAATCCATCAGACCTTTGAGACTAATCCACCAGACCTTTGAGACTAATCCACCAGACCTTTGAGACAAATCCACAAAACCTTTGAGACAAATCCACCAGACCCGTGAGACTAATCCACAAAACCTTTGAGACAAATCCACAAAACCTTTGAGACAAATCCACAAAACATTTGAGACAAATCCATCAGACCTTTGAGACAAATCCACCAGACCCTTGAGACAAATCCACAAACCTTTGAGACAAACCCACAAAACATTTGAGACAAATCCACCAGACCCTTGCAGAGACAAATCCACAAATCAGACCTTTATAATGAAGCATACGACTTTATGGCTGTAATAATCCTTTGTCCATTGCGGAGAGCGACGATTCAATGTAGATGTGTATCAAGTGATTACGCTGTTGTCTACATAGAAACATAGTTATCTGCAATATACAAGAAGTCGCTCTTAACAATGTTCTTCCTGATGTAGTTCTATATTTACCCACCAACTCCTACAATGCCTATCAAACAATCGCAATCATAACAACTGTATGTATTACTATTGCTAATACACTGTGCAAGTGTATATATACTGATGTACAAAAGAAAGTACACACCTGGTGTTTTGAGAGTATTAAAACAACGTAAGTCGCAATCGAACACTTTTCTAAATACATGTATTACGCAGTTTTCAGGAAAGCATCAGTGTGTAATTTCTTTGTACGTCAGTATATCTATATATGAAACAATGTTACCAGCCTCATACCGTACAGATAGTTACGTCAGTTTATCTATATATGAAACAATGTTACCAGCCTCATAATGTACAGATAGTTACGTCAGTTTATCTATATATGAAACAATGTTACTAACCTCATACCGTACAGATAGGTACGTCAGTTTATCTATATATGAAACAATGTTACCAGCCTCATAACGTACAGATAGTTACGTCAGTTTATGTATATATGAAACAATGTTACCAGCCTCATACCGTAGAGATAGTTACGTCAGTTTATCTATATATGAAACAATGTTAATAGCCTCATAACGTACAGATAGGGTACGTCAGTTTATGTATATATATGAAACAATGTTACCAGCCTCATAACGTACAGATAGTTACGTCAGTTTCTTCTATATATGAAACAATGTTACCAGCCTCATACCGTACAGATAGCTACGTCAGTTTTTATCTATATATGAAACAATGTTACCACCCTAATAACGTACAGATAGTTACGTCAGTTTCTATATATGAAACAATGTTACCAGCCCCATAACGTACAGATAGTTACGTCAGTTTATCTATATATGAAACAATGTTACCAGCCCTCATAACGTACAGATAGTTACGTCAGTTTCTCTACTCTATATGAAACAATGTTACCAGCCTCATAACGTACAGATAGCTACGTCAGTTTATCTATATATGAAACAATGTTACCAGCCTCATACCGTACAGATAGCTACGTCAGTTTATCTATATATGAAACAATGTTACCAGCCTCATAACGTACAGATAGTTACGCCAGTTTATGTATATATGAAACAATGTTACGAGCTCCCCATACCGTACAGATAGCTACGTCAGTTTATCTATATATGAAACAATGTTACCAGCCTCATAACGTACAGATAGTTACGTCAGTTTATCTATATATGAAACAATGTTACTTTAACCCCTCATAACGTACAGGATAGTTACGTCAGTTTATCTATATATGAAACAATGTTACCAGCCTCATAACGTACAGATAGTGACGTCAGCTTTATCTATATATGAAACAATGTTACCAGCCCTCATAACGTACAGATAGTTACGTCAGCTTTTATCGATATATAAAACAATGTTACCAGCCCTCATAACGTACAGATAGTTACGCTCAGTTTCTCTATATATGAAACAATGTTACCAGCCCTCATACCGTACAGATAGGTAATACGTCAGTTTATCTATATATGAAACAATGTTACCAGCCCTCATAACGTACAGATAGTTACGTCAGTTTATCTGTATATATGAAACAATGTTACCAGCCCCATAGCGTACAGATAGCTACGTCAGTTTATCTATATATGAAACAATGTTACCAGACTCATAACGTACAGATAGTTACGTCAGTTTATCTATATATGAAACAATGTTACCAGCCCTCATACCGTGCAGATAGCTACGTCAGTTTATCTATATATGAAACAATGTTACCTCAGCCCCTCATAACGTACAGATAGGTACGTCAGTTTATGTATATATGAAACAATGTTACCAGCCTCATAACGTACAGATAGTTACGCGTCAGTTTCTCTATATATGAAACAATGTTACCAGCCCCATAACGTACAGATAGCTACGTCAGTTTATCTATATATGAAACAATGTTACCACCCTCATAACGTACAGATAGGTACGTCAGTTTATCTATATATGAAACAATGTTACCACCCTCATAACGTACAGATAGCTACGTCAGTTCATCTATATATGAAACAATGTTACCAACCTCATAACGTACAGATAGTTACGTCAGTTTATGTATATATGAAACAATGTTACCAGCCCTCATAACGTACAGATAGCTACGTCAGTTTATCTATATATGAAACAATGTTACCAGCCCCATAACGTACAGATAGTTACGCCAGTTTATCTATATATGAAACAATGTTACCAGCCTCCCATACCGTACAGATAGCTACGTCAGTTTATCTATATATGAAACAATGTTACCAGCCCCATACCGTACAGATAGTTACGTCAGTTTTATCTATATATATGAAACAATGTTACCAACCTCATAACGTACAGATAGCTACGTCAGTTTATCTATATATGAAACAATGTTACCAGCCTCATAACGTACAGATAGTTACGTCAGTTTATCTATATATGAAACAATGTTACCAGCCCCATAACGTACAGATAGTTACGTCAGTTTCATCTATATATGAAACAATGTTACCAGCCCTCATAACGTACATATAGCTACGTCAGTTTATCTATATATGAAACAATGTTACCAGCCTCATACCGTACAGATAGTTACGTCAGTTTATCTATATATGAAACAATGTTACCAGCCCTCATAACGCGTACAGATAGTTACGTCAGTTTATCGATATATAAAACAATGTTACCAGCCTCATAACGTACAGATAGTTACGTCAGTTTCTCTATATATGAAACAATGTTACCAGCCTCATACCGTACAGATAGCTACGTCAGTTTATCTATATATGAAACAATGTTACTAGCCTCATAACGTACAGATAGGTACGTCAGTTTATGTATATATGAAACAATGTTACAAGCCCTCATAACGTACAGATAGTTACGTCAGTTTCTCTATATATGAAACAATGTTACTAGCCTCATACCGTACAGATAGCTACGGCCAGTTTATCTATATATGAAACAATGTTACCACCCTCATAACGTACAGATAGGTACGTCAGTTTATCTATATATGAAACAATGTTACCAGCCTCATAACGTACAGATAGCTACGTCAGTTTATGTATATATGAAACAATGTTACCAGCCTCATAACGTACAGATAGCTACGTCAGTTTATCTATATATGAAACAATGTTACCAGCCTCATAACGTACAGATAGTTACGCCAGTTTATCTATATATGAAACAATGTTACCAGCCCTCATACCGTACAGATAGCTACGTCAGTTTATCTATATATGAAACAATGTTACCAGCCTCATACCGTACAGATAGTTACGTCAGTTTATCTATATATGAAACAATGTTACCAACCTCATAACGTACAGATAGCTACGTCAGTTTATCTATATATGAAACAATGTTACCAGCCTCATAACGTACAGATAGTTACGTCAGTTTATCTATATATGAAACAATGTTACCAGCCTCATAACGTACAGATAGTTACGTCAGTTTATCTATATATGAAACAATGTTACCAGCCCCATAACGTACATATAGCTACGTCAGTTTATCTATATATGAAACAATGTTACCAGCCTCATAACGTACAGATAGTGACGTCAGTTTATCTATATATGAAACAATGTTACCAGCCTCATAACGTACAGATAGTTACGTCAGTTTATCGATATATAAAACAATGTTACCAGCCTCATAACGTACAGATAGTTACGTCAGTTTCTCTATATATGAAACAATGTTACCAGCCCCATACCGTACAGATAGGTAACGTCAGTTTATCTATATATGAAACAATGTTACCAGCCTCATAACGTACAGATAGTTACGTCAGTTTATCTATATATGAAACAATGTTACCAGCCTGATAGCGTACAGATAGCTACGTCAGTTTATCTATATATGAAACAATGTTACCAGACTCATAACGTACAGATAGTTACGTCAGTTTATCTATATATGAAACAATGTTACCAGCCCTCATACCGTACAGATAGCTACGTCAGTTTATCTATATATGAAACAATGTTACTAGCCTCATAACGTACAGGTAGATAGGTACGTCAGTTTTATGTATATATGAAACAATGTTACCAGCCTCATAACGTATAGATAGTTACGTCAGTTTTCTCTATATATGAAACAATGTTACTCAGCCCCATAACCGTACAGATAGCTACGTCAGTTTATCTATATATGAAACAATGTTACCACCCCTCATAACGTACAGATAGGTAATGTCAGTTTTATCTATATATGAAACAATGTTACCAGCCCCATAACGTACAGATAGCTACGTCAGTTTATCTATATATGAAACAATGTTACTAACCCTTCATAACGCTGCCAGATAGTTACGTCAGTTTATGTATATATGGAAACAATGTTACCAGCCTCATAACGTACAGATAGCTACGTCAGTTTATCTATATATGAAACAATGTTACTGTACAGCCTCATAACGTTACAGATAGTTACGCCAGTTTATCTATATATGAAACAATGTTACCAGCCTCATACCGTACAGATAGCTACGTCAGTTTATCTATATATGAAACAATGTTACCAGCCTCATACCGTACATATAGTTACGTCAGTTTATCTATATATGAAACAATGTTACCAACCCCATAACGTGCCAGATAGCTCCGTCAGTTTATCTATATATGAAACAATGTTACTCAGCCCTCATAACGTACAGATAGTTACGTCATTTATCTATATATGAAACAATGTTACTAGCCCCATAACGTACAGATAGTTACGTCAGTTTATCTATATATGAAACAATGTTACCAGCCCCATAACGTACATATAGCTACGTCAGTTTATCTATATATGAAAACAATGTTACCAGCCCTCATAACGTACAGATAGTTACGTCAGTTTCTCTATATATGAAAACAATGTTATCAGCCTCATAACGTACAGATAGTTACGTCAGTTTATCTATATATGAAACAATGTTACCAGCCTCATAACGTACAGATAGTTACGTCAGTTTTTATCTATATATGAAACAATGTTACTCAGCCCTCATAACGTTACAGATAGTTACGTCAGTTTATCTATATATGAAACAATGTTACCAGCCTCATACCGTACAGATAGCTACGTCATCTTTATCTATATATGAAATAATGTTACTAACCTCATAACGTACAGATAGTTAGTTTATGTATATATGAAACAATGTTACCAGCCCCATAACCGCGTACAGATAGCTACGTCAGTTTATCTATATATGAAACAATGTTACCAGCCTCATAACGTACAGATAGTTACGTCAGTTTATCTATATATGAAACAATGTTACTTCAGCCCTCATAACGTACAGATAGTGACGTCAGTTTA